AGTACTGCGTCCAGCTCTGGAGTCCTCAGGAAGGACATGGACTTATTGGAGCGGGTCCAAAGGAGGGCCACAAAGATGATCAGAGGGATGGAATGCCTCTCCTATGAAGAAAGGCTGAGAGAGTTGGGGTTGTTCAGCCCAGAGAAGAGAAGGCTCCATGGAGACCTTATTGTGGCCTTTCAATAATTGAAGGGGGCTTGTAAGGAAGATGGGGACAAACTTTTTAGTAGGGCCTGTTGCGACGGCATAAGGGGGAATGGTTTTAAACTGAAAGAGGGTAGATTTAGACCAGATACAAGGAAGAAATTTTTTACGATGAGGGTGGTGAAAGACTGGAACAGGCTGCCCAGAGACGTGGTAGATGCCCCATCCCTGGAAACATTCAAGGTCAGGCTGGGGGGGGCTCTGAGCAACCTGATCTACCTGAAGATGTCCCTGCCCATGGCAGGACTAGATGACCTTTAAATGTCCCTTCCAACCCAAACTATTCTATGATTCTATGATTCTATGAATTTCAGAGCTCTTCACATTGCAGTGGTCTGGTTTCTGCATTTGATATTAAACAGTCAATGGATTTAAAAAGAAGTCAAAGGAGCAGAGCCTAGGATGTAACAAAATGGTCCTCCTATATGCAGCCCACCACAGGATCAGATTGGAACCTGCTTGTATTCAATTTCAGGAAAACTCCTATTAGTGAGTTTCTATATGGAACAAAAAGTATGTCCTTATTTCTCCTGTTATTCCCTACATCAGGTTGCTGGGTGAAATGTAAAATGGTCTTGGAGGTTCACGGTGACCCCACTCCTCACCCCCTTCACTGCAGCTGGGCAGAAGGTTTGCTCACCTCTCCTGCCGAGTCTGCTCCTCTGTGGTTTCCATGGCACACTCCAGGGAGTTCTGGAGGGACTGAAGCTGGTTCAGTGTTTCCTTCAAAAGAAAGCGAGTCACAAACTGCTCCAAATTAGAAGCTTCCTGATAGTCCTAAAAATTACATGAAAACAAAAAAAAAGGTAAGGATTTGCCTACTAGGTTGGAAATATGTGAGGGAAGATTCAGACTTAATTCAGAAAGGAAGCAGCTTGGATGTTTTCATGCTTATACATGCAAACCACATAAGCAACCTTTATGTTTCTGGACAAAAAGACCTCTGAATTTCCAGGTATAGAAACTGTTCCCACCTGAGCCGAGAGAGGCCCAGGTACACAGTGGCACAACATAGTTCCTACTCAAAAAAACCCTTTTCCTTATGTTTCTTAGCTCCAGTTGATGGCAGTACCACATTACTTCTTAAGTATGATTGACAACTGCAGAAGTGAATTTAAAGTTTTTATTCAGATCTATTCTTGTTAAAAGATGTTTATCTAGTCCACTGGCCTGTCTCTGACCATGATTATGGGAATAGTCTGTGAGCAGGGCACGTACTTAGTGATACTGCCCTGGAAAACTCCACCAGCAGTTTGGCTGAAGGACTGCCTGTGCCAGAGAGATTGCCTTCTGAATTTAACAGTCTTTGACTGACTTTTGTTCCTTTAATTTGTTTAATTATTTTTGAAACTATGTATCTATATTTTTCACAATTACATGAAATGCATCTAAATATTCTTTAAGTTGGAGTTTGGTTATTATAAAAGTTTGCAGCTGCAAACTGCAAGCAGTCCGTAATGGTTCTTTGTGTAACAACATTTTGAATATGTTTTATCTCTTTAAAAATATTTATGCCTATTTTCTGTAGATAATTTCAGAAACAAATTTTTACGCCTGCTCTCTCCTTGGCCCAATGAATCATATTTCCATGGATGGGGTCAACTTTAACATTTCTGGCAATCCCAGATCTGCAAAACCCAGTTCTGCAGTGACATGCAGGTAATGCTGTGTGAGGGGGGTCACCCATATGATAATATAAACACCCTTTTTGTTGTTTTCTCATTAATAAATGTAATAGAGAGGATAGAGCAGACCTCTAGAGCTTCTGCTTACTGTGTAGAGCTCCCATCAGGAACAGAGAAGGAAAATGGACTTCCTTCTCTTAAACTTTGAATGAATTTGTTGGCTCCTACTCTGATAAAAGTACGCTGGTATCCATTTGTCCTATGCCCTAAGTCTGCTTATGTGTGCAGAAAACCCATTCAGCTGATCTTGAAAGCCTTTGGGTACAATTCCATCTACAATGGTTTCATAAAATATGAGGCACATTGAATGAAAAGTTTCTCTAGCCACCACATCTGAAGATAGATGATGGTCTGTTATCTCCAAGATTTAAGGAAAACTTGTTGTTTGAATGCTGTTGCCTCCTACTCTAGCTGAGAACCCATTTGAGTATTTTTGGCCACACTTAGCGGTATTTAAGCTCTTCTCTGTTCTTCCCAATGTGAATTACAGCTGAAGTGCCTTTTTGACTTCTCTTAGAATTTTTGCATGTATGTGTTTGCAATCAGAACACAAATATAAGATGTTTTGAAATTTACATGTAAAACAAAAGATTGTAAGGTAATAGCTTTAAAAGCATTTTGCTCTCCTATGAGAACAATCTATTCACAATACATGTTATTAAGCTAACTCTTGTTGGAGGACTTCTGCTACAGAAATCTCAGATGTTAAACCACCCATGAATCATCAGAAGTTACTTATGTAGCCCAGGAGCTTCATGGTCTTCTATATTTACTTCTTCTGTCTTCAGATTAATCAGGTGTGAGCCATTCTCCAACAAATAATTTCTTATTTATACATTTTTAAAATAGATACTCATGGGAGATTGTCTCTCTACCTTTTGAGTGAATACCTGAGACTCACACCAGTCCTATAAATAACATTTATAGCAACGTTTATGAATACTAAATCTTATTATGCAATAGGAAAGCTGATTTTTTTTCTTCTTCTAATTTGTCTCCATTGTAACTGATTTAAAACTTTGGTGCACCTGACAGAGATCATTTAATTTCCAAAAATTTTGATTCTCTGTGGCATGTTAGAACAACGTGTGCGAATTTGTGTAGCATGGGCAGCTAAATGAAACCCTGCAGTAGAAATCCAGGGTATGTTTTAATTTTTCAGTTTTCACCAGTGCTCTTGGAAATAAGTGAACAAAACATGAGAGAGATGACCATTTCTTGTAAGTTTTTGAATTCCAAAGCAATCTCACAAGAGGAGGATAATCAAAGCATTTTAAAATTCTAGGCATCCAAAAAGTAAATGCTACAGATACCTCCATATAGCTTCCTGCTCATAGTCATAGTAAATCTGATACCGGCATGCTGAATTACAACTTAAAATGTACATCAATACTGTTTCATTTTACAGACAGTTCAGGTGGGCCCTCGCTGATGGGGAGGTCATATAAACATTAACTGTGTAATACTTGCTACTGTCTGAGGCTGGCTGCTTTTTGACTTGTTCAGAAATGCTTTCCTGCATTTGAAAGTGATTAAGGTTTTTTTCATCAGAACTACTCCAGGTTTGTGCATTGCACCAGGATTTAGTCTTTTTTCTTCCTGTTCTGTTGTCTTGTAAGTTCGATATTTAAAGGCTTCCCTATGGAAAAGGTCCTTGTGATCTTTAAATATAGCTTAAAGATGCCTTATCTTATAGGCAGACAGGATGATAACATCGTCTGTGGGAGTCTAGAATTATCAAAGACTCTTTCCTTATGTGTATTTTAGCCAAACTTCGTGTTTACAGCTCTTCTATGCGGAATTACTTAACTCTCTTAATGCACCCAGTTGGGCAAATGGCTACTCAACATTTTTCTTTAAATAATGGCTCTGAGGCCACCAATTCTGAGCTCACAGCAATGTTGGGCAACTTCGATTCCTGCCTGCTGAAAGATAACTACTCCCACCTGTCCTTCTACAATTCTTTGAAAATCATGGAAGAAGGTATTCAGCATATATAAATTGTCAGCATTATTATAATTTAAGTCATGGAGCGAAAAAGATTGTCCATTACAATTCAACTTAAACCTCAACTCCAGCTTTCAGCAATGAGGAATTACCAGCCATGCTTTGTTATCGTTTCACCACTCTACTTCCTATAGAAAAGTGCCTTCATTTGCATTTTATTAAAGGCATATTGGTACAAGATTCCACTAGAAGAAAGAAAATGTTAATTCTGAATTAAGAAAAATGTGTATCAAGTTATTAAGTGTATATTATGGTAGAATCAGCTTAACTGGCATGCACAGTATTTGTATTGTCAGTATAACGCGCCACCAGTTAATAACGGGACCCACTGATGGCATCGGCATGTAAACTAGAAAAATGGCCTGTTTCTTGAATTTCATTAGCTGTAAATTACCGTTCATTAGCACATACATTATACTGCACACCAGTTTGGGCAGTCCAGATGACGTAAGTCTGTGTTAACATATCGTTCTTCTTGTTAGTTTTACTGATTGCGAGTGAATTAGGGTAATTTTCCACATCTTCCTCATGAAGAGACAACTGCAACCTTTGTATGCAGCTAAGATTTGAGTTTCCATTAATGCAACTGAAAATACACATAATTAGTTATTTCCCTGTGGAAAATGTCACCGTGGTCTTTAAAACTGGCTTATGGCTATCTTAAAAGCTGCAGAAGAGGTTCTCCTTTTATAAAGGCGGAGGAAGCAGGGCTTAGGTATCTCCTAAGGGAGTCCACATCTCAGGGACACCACAGGTTCAGTGACTCTCTTGATCCTCTCGAGCCCTGGTGCCAGCCCCAATCCTCTCCCCTTGGGTGACCTGTCACCACGCTGATCCACTTATCAGAAGAGCAGCTCATTGAGATGGAGAAGGAGGGAGATACCTGTGTTTGCTTACTTGGGGCAAGCAAACTAAACTTGGTTGGGAAAAAAATGACTCTGAAATCTCCCAGAAGGGGTGGGAGCTTAGGCAAGAGCTCCACAAACTTAGTGGGAAAGGATGTCTGGCTGTCACCTAGTCCAACCCCCTGTTCAGAGCAGAGCCAACTTCAAAGCTAGTTCAGGCTGCGTGGCGACATGTCAGCTGAGTTTGGAACATCTCCAAGGATGGAGATTACACCATCTCTCTGGTCCACTGTTGCACCACCCTCTCTGTGCAAAGTATTTTCCATATGCCTAGTCAGCATTTTCCCTTCCGCAAGCTGTAGCTGTTGCCTCTTGTGCTTTTGCTATGCACCTCTGAAAAAGACAATGTTGTTTTGTCTTCTCTATAACCCTTCTTTAGATAGTAGAATTACATCTTCTCTCAGCTTCTTCTCCAGGCTGAACAAACCTGGTCCCCTTGGCCTCTCCTTTCTATATTGCTATTTTGCTATGTAGTAATTTATGTTATATAAGACTTGACTTTATAACTTATTTATTTGTACTTTATTTGTTACATTACTTATAATAGTTATTTATTACTGTTATATCACTTTACAATTTTCTGTTTCCTATTTTACATGTCGTATCAAAATAATTTCATAAAAATTATTTATGCTTATCTTTACAGAAAATACCCCCAAGGCAACTGAAAAGTAGTTATCTTTGAGTAAAACTCAGTAAGGAATATCTATTTAAATTTCCCTTGATCATGGAATGTCTTCTGCCCTGTGTGTTTAGATCCTACATTAGTGGGACAACGCCCTGGGTTACAACTTTAAATTGAGGATATTAAATTAGTCAGAATAACTGTACCAAAATGAAAAAGAATTCAAGCTTTTTTCATTTCAATCACTAAGATCTAATTCTTCAGACTGTAGGACAGAGTCAGAACAGAGTGAGAATAAAATCGTAATTTCAACAGAAGCCAGATCCAGAGATGCTCACTGTGTTGACTTCACACAAATGCAATTTTTACAGCATCCTCGTCGTAAGAGTGAGCAAAGGCATAAGATACCAAACTATTAAATAGATTCAACTTCAATTTTAGAGTGTGGCACAAACTTTACAAGTTTATTGAAGTATTATATTTGGAATAAATTACATGTTTAAATTCTGCCTAGAGAACTGGAACAGTGACAGTCTCTACTAACCACTTGCAATG